CTAAGTCACATAAAATGAACAAAATGACTTTTACGTAAGTATCAAAAGTCTGAGCAGGGTGTGGTAACATGCACCTATAATCCCAGCACTTGAAAGACCAAGGCAGGAGGATCTCTGCAAGGTCAAAGCCAGCCTCAACTATACAAGTCCAGCCCAGCTACATGAGTTCAAGGCCAGACTGAACTGCATAATGAGACACTGTCTCAAAAAAAAAAAAAAGTTTGGATAGGGACTAAATATTACAAAAAAAATACATTTACCTTTATGGATATGATAATGTTTTTCACTCTTGAATTAGCCGGATAATCATAATGAAATAATCAGTTGTCCATAAGTATAAGGGTTTATTCTGTACTTCTGTTGATCTACATTGTCTATCTCTATGCTTTTTAAAGTTTAATTTTAAAATGCAAAGTAAGTATGTATGCACAAAAGTAGTATATTCTTTAGGATTTACTTTAAAATATTTCATTGAAGAACACACTATGATAAATGTAGCAACTGTAGCAAATATTTAATATTATTTCCAAGTGAAGAGTACATTGAATTATATGAGTTCTTTATATTTCACTTGAGCTTAAAACTTTTTATTAAAAAAATTTCAGTCCACTGACTGTCAGTATTATCCTCAAATATTTAAGTACTATATGGTAGATCTAACAGGATTAGGACTTTGGGATCCACAAAGGTAATTTAAGTTATAGCTGCTGTGTTTTAGAAGCATTAATAGTATCTGCCCAAGGAGACTGGGTCCATCTATCTAAAGATAAATGACATGCATTAGGTGGCAGACATTCAATGCTTTATTAAATATTAAGTTCAGAGGAAATAACAGCAGAGCAATTTTAAACAGCAGGACTTCAAACCTAATACAAAGCTCTAATGACCAAATAGAGATAGACAATATAGATCAACAGAAGTACAGAATAAACCCTTATACTTATGGACAACTGATTATTTCAATATGATTATCCGGCTAATTCAAGAGTGAAAGAAAAATCTTTTCAGTGATCCTTGGACAACTGGATATCCACTGGGGGAAAAAAAAATAAAGTTAGACCCCCTTCCTCACATCACATACTAAACATAGTAAGGGCTACAACTTTAAAACTCTTGGGAGAAAATTTAGAACTTTTGTGAACAGTAGGTGATATTTTATGATACTAAAAATACAATTGGTCAAAGGAAACACAGATAAATTAGATTTCATGAAAAAAGAAAACTACCATGCTTGCAGGGTATCACGGAAAACAGTGAAAAAAGGCTGGCTGGAAGGGTGCATGCCTGTAATCCCAGCCCTTGAGGCTGAAGCAAGAAGGTAGTAGCAAGTTTGAGCCTTGTCTAAGCAAGTCACTGAGCAAGACTATATCAAAAATAAAAAATAAAAAGGCCTGAGGATGTAGTTCAATTCCCAATAGCACCAAAAAAAAAAGAAAGAAAGAAAGAAAAAAGACAACTAAGACATTTGTAAATCGTATATCTCATTTGAAACTTGCATCCAGCATATAAAGATTACTACTACAATTCAACAATAAAAACATAAATGAGCCAATTTTAAATAATATAAGATATAAATAAACATTTCTCCAAAGATAATACTACAAATGGTCAACAAGCACATGAAAAGGTCTTTAGCACCTTTTCAACATCATTTCTTAGTAAGAAACTGCAAATAAAAACCACAATGAAATAGCACTTGATATCCAGTGGGAGAACTAAAAAGAACAATAATCCTGATGTGGAGAAACTAGAAACTCATACATGCTGCTGGAATGTAAATGATGTGGCCACTTTAGAAAAGTGTGGCAGTCACCCAGAAAGTTAAAATTGGGAGATGTTATACGACCCAGGAATTCTGCTCCTGGTACATATACAAGACAAGTGACAGCATATGGTCACACAAACACTGTACATGAATGTTCACAGCAGCAATATTCGCAATAATCCAAACATGGAAACCATTCAAATATTCATCAACTAACCAATCAACAAAATATGATATTCACACAAAGGAATATCATCCAGCAACAATAAGGGAGTTCCAGTATAAGCTGTAATACAGATGAATCTTGAAAACATTACGCTAAGAAAAGGATTCTAGACACAAAGGGACACTAATGGATTCCATGCATAAGCAAAATCCAGGATAAGCAAATCCAGAGACAGGAAGTAGCCTACGTCCCTGCCACAGACTGGAAGGAAGCTGCGATAGGGAGCAACATAATGGGCACAGGTTTCTTTCTGGGGTAATGAAAACATTCTCAAATTAGATAGCAATGATGGTTTCACAGCTCTGAATATACTAAATACCATTTAAGTGCACATCTTAACAGAGGAAATTTTATGATATGTGAATTACATATAAATAGAGCAGGTTTGTATTCTATTGTACAGAAGGGTATGGTACATTTCAAAAAAATCTAAAAGAAAGGCTTTTGAATTTTCTACAATAAATAAGTGTTTAAAGAAATTTGTTTATCCTAATTTGAACTTCATACAACCCAAACATGTAACAAAATATCACATGGTACCCCATAAATAACTACTATGTAAACTTAAATTATTATTTTTAAATGAAAAAAAAGTACAGTAGAAACTTTTTTTCCCCCATAATTTTATTGGAAACTTTTTAAAAAGTAGGAGTTAAGCTAGAATAAAAAAGCAAAGTAAGACTTGGGCAGTAAAGAAGGTAGGAAAAAACTGTGAATTGTGACTCAGATGTAGAAATATGCATGGTGTGATCAAGGCGTAAATTACTACACCGATACTTTTGCAAAACAAAGTCACAGCAAATAATACCTGAGGTATTTGTAGAGGAGAAAAGAGAGATGTGTTCAAGACAATTCTCTATTAGAGAAGACCTGCATGGTAACCCAAATCTCTTGACTGAAATTCCTATACTAACAGATCTACCTAGGTAAAATCAGGAAGTCCAGAAAACATGCTTTTTGATTTTATATACACAAAAACAAAAGAAAACACAACTGAGGAATTCCCAGGAATGATTATGGTATCTATTCTGAAAATCTAACATCAAATACCAAATAACAGTTGACTTTCAATATCAAACTTACCAGATCCTCAGGAGTTGCCCGATGAACCGTGAGATCATTCACAGTATCCTGAAAGAAAAGATGGCCTTTATTTAAGAAAAAAAGTTTCTTATAGAATATGAGTGTTCACTGGATTACAAAGCTAAAAATGGGTTTAAAATCTTGAGGCCAAAAACTTGTTCTTTCCAGGGAACAGTATTCTCCATATAAATAATATCACAGACTACTGTTAGGTGTCTTACAGAAAACAAACAATTATATTAAAACAAGGAATAAAAAAGGATGGCATATATTCTAAATGAGTACACTTAACTAAAGTTGTAGTGTTCAAACTGTATTCCATGGAATTCCAGGATTCTTAGAAAATTCTCAGTAAAGTACAATCACTAAAGAAAGGTTCATTTTATAACCACAAACATCAGTGGCATAGAACCTATTACAATCTGAGATTAATCACTTACCAGTTCAATTATTTAAATAGAGGATAACCAAAAATGGCATGTTTTTGTTAATTTTTATAATAAAACAGAAAATATAAAAACAATTTTATCAAATTTATTTGATACAAAAATCAGTTGCGCTGGTGAGATAGCTCAGGGAACTAAGTGCCTGCTTAAGCAAACACAGGGACCTGGGTTCAATCCCTGGTACCAAATGTCGTACTGGACTCACCACAGGGTGCCCTGAGTCCCCAAGACCAGGAGTGGTGGTGCACAACTGCAATCCTAGTGCTGGGGAGGCTGAAAACAGGAGGATCACTACTCTGAGCTTCATAGTGAGACCCTGTACCAAATACATAAAATTTAAAAAATAAAAAAGAGAATCAGTTGGTTGAAATGATACCCGCCCAAGTGAAATGACACTCAGGGTAGCCAGTATGTAAACAAACATGCTGTTCAAGTGACTCCCAGGGTAAACCGTTAAGCAGCTAAGTGTAGGCTCCACTTAATTTCATAACATGTGAAAATAGTCACTTGTGCAACAAGGTACTAACCAGCATGGCAAGGCCAGCATACTATACAACTCCAGGAGGTACCAGGGGTGTTCTAGTCCATCCACATAGTACCCTTGGACTTGTGTGGTATCCAGAATGCACAGCACTAACCAATAACCCTGCAACTTGGCACTTTCCAAAATCAACTCTGCTACTTAACTACACAGATTTACAAAAACAGGAAATAAAACAAGTCAGAGTTTTACTTGTAAGTGATAAAAAATACAAAGAGTCACAACAGTTTCTGACAAATTCAAGACTAAACTTTTTGGCCATGATTACACTTAAGCCAAAGCTTTTCTACATGAAAACATCTTTACATGACTTAGAAAGGCACAAAATACAACTACAAGCACATGAGAATTGTTTGCAGTAATCCTAATAAAATTCTAGCATATAAAAAAGGGATATGCTTGGAATGAGTTTCCATGGAAAAAATATAATGCCACCATTACTTTTTTTTTGTACTTTTAGGGAAGGGCCTACAGGGTGTTCAGGGTCTCACTACTAGACTGGACTTGTAGTGATCTGCCTGTTTCACCTGTTTCCAGCCTCCCAAGAGCTGGGAGTACAGGCACTCACCACCACGCCCAGTCTCAATTGCTGTCTCAGTGCGCCCTGGGAGCAGGAGCTGGTCGGCATGGCACGCCTGGGGATGGAACCCCAGGCCCCTGCACCTGCTTGCAGGCGCTTTAATCCGCTGAGCTATTTGGCCAGCCCTTTCCCCATCATTACTTCTAGGACTTTAAGCTATTTTCTTCTCAAATTGCCCTTAAATCTAACATACCAATCATTTTAGAAAGTGTCTCACAGTTGTTACCAAAACAGTATGAGTCAATTAGACTTCTCCTCAACCATTAATTATTCAAGCCAAATAACTATTTTCCAAGTTCAATCTACCTTCAAAAGACAGATTTTTTTTTTCTCCAGTTCTGGAGATAATAAGTAAATGAAGATGATTTTTTATATAATTTCAAATGATAGGTTTCAATTTAATTGTGAGCAACAGCTAAATATTGAAATAAATGCTGAACTTTCCAAGCTAACCACTATGAAAGGGACAATACCACATTACCATAAATACTGCCAATCAGACAGCAATAAAATAATATAAACCAGGAAGTCCCCTTGTCCCACTTCCAGAAGTTGTCAGTTTACTCAAGATAGCTGGCAAAGGTGGTGACCTGACCACTACTGTGAAAGTTCTAAGCCCAGAACAATTCTGAAGATCTAAGCTAGTCCCTGACTACTCATTCTTCACAACATAAAGTAAAGGCACCCAAGTCTCACATCCAAACCAAACATTCAGGATGCAAAAGATAACTCTCCGAGTAAGGAGAGGTGATACGCAAGTTAGAAGCCAGGCTTCACATTTCCAGATATCTGAAACCTGCTCTATATTTTAAGAGAATCTTGTACTGAAATTTACCAGTCTCTAGAGAGGTAACCAACAAATAATCAAAAGGTAAGAGAAGAAAGATCACCTACTTTTTCAGTCAAAAGTGCCACCCCCAAAATTTTGCCATCACTGGTTGCTAAGGACAAATCGAAACAGGTACCAAAAATTCTTCATAGACTTCAGCAACAGGCTAATTAGTGTTGCCTTAAAGCAATGAGATTTCAATCAAAGCAGAGGTGAAAGGACTTTTTTAAAAGACACACTCTCCACCCAATTAAGATTTTAATTTTTTTTCAAATGAGCCAGAAGCTATAACCTAGAGAGGCATATTCTAAAGCACTCCCCAAAGAAGTCTCTTTTCCCAAATAACAAGGATATAACATGCTCAGACACCCGTTCCACTTTACTACTTGATTAATGGTACTTTGCGCCCCTTTCAGAACACCATCCTGTGTAAGTAGGGCTGCACTGTGTTCTTCAGAGTAAAGTTACACAATTTGCCACCCCACCATGCGTACTTACATCCCAGTCTTGCTTCACAACAGCTTTCTTCTTTTTCACTTTCAGTGCCTTTTTCCCACCTCCTCGGGGACAGTAACGGTTCACTCTGACCAATGACATCTATGAGTAATAAAAAAAATTGTATTTTTATTTTTATTTATTTTGTGTGCGTGTGTGTGTGTGTGTGTGGCCAGCTCAGCCCACCAGGGGGTGGGGCTGGCTGGCACGTGGTGCTAGGGGATTGAACCGTGGTCCCTGTGCTTTGCTTAGCTTAGCTTGTTCTAAGTAGGTGCTTTAGACCACTAAGCCATCTCACCAGCCCCACAAAAAAGTTTTAAATACAAGAAAAAGTAATAATTGTGCATTACCAGCAAGGGGGGAAGCACACCTAGTAAAAACAAAGTAACTTAAAATATCAAAAGAAAACTTTAAGCATCATGAAAGGAACAGGCTACTGAAATACTTGATTCTTTTGTTTTACAACTAACAGGAAATTGATATGGACACATGCAGCAAAGTTTCAAGTGGATAACTTAACTTTATTTGCTTAATAAAGAGCTAAAAATTGAAAATTAGCAGAGAAGTAGGATGGAAGTCATGGAGTATGTCATCAGTCACACAGATTCAATTAGTAGAGTAAATGCCAGTTACATGCTAACAATCAAATAAAAGAGAAAGGGGGGTCAAAGAGAACTAGCCTTGTTTTCTTTTTTGTTTGTTTTTTGTTTTTTAGCCTTGTTTTCTAAGAACGCTAACCCTCTAAATCACTCTCATCTACCTATTTGCTTACCTGCAAGGTAGCTAAACTGTACAGCATGAGGTATGATATCAGACCTCCAAATAACATTAAAAGGACGTAATTACTGATTTTCAATAAGAATTTATAAATAACCAAACTTAAGCTTGACACTCTTAAAATAACTATGGAAAGGACACTAGACCACATAATATAGAAAGTTAGAAAGAGACTTACAGAACCTGAACACCACAATTTTATGCTTGTAATTTTTTAAAAAACATATACAGGACCAGGAGACAGCTCAGTAGCATAAACACATGCCTGGCAAGTTCAAGGGCCTAAGTTCAATTTCCAGTACAAAATAAATAAATAAATAAATAAATGTACTGTAATAAAGATGCTTAAACAAAAATAGTTCTCAAGAATTTGCCCTGAGTCTCTATTATTTTCTACCTTCTCATCAGTCATATTCTTTTTGTCTTTTGTAGACAGGGTCTCACTATGTAGCCCAGGCTGGCCTCAAACTTGGCAGCAATCCTCCTGCCTCTGCCTCCAGAGTGCTGCGATAACAGGCATGCGTCCCCACACTCGGCGCTCACTCACTCTTCGAATATGGTATAGAGTTTACAGCACAGCAAAGGAGGTGAGTCACACACAAGCAGGAGTGTGGCTAATGGGCTTCGTTAGCAGTGCTGTGGATGGAACCCAGGACCTTATTTATTCTGGCTAAGTGCCTTAGTGCAATCTACACTTGGAGCCCAACAATTAAGTTTTATTTTTTTAATTGCACTTTTTATATTTTTTTTATTTTATTTTTTGGTGGAACTGGGGATTGAACTCAGACCCTTGAGCTTGCCAGGGAAGCACTTACTCCACTGAGCCGTCTCCCTGGCCCCAACAATTAAGTTTTATGACAGTGATGATGATAGTTGAAGCAGCGCTGATGACATTAGCTAAAACATTTTTAAGTTATGAGTGCCTTCTCTAAGCTAGATACTATTTTAGGCTCTTTGCACAATTATCTTCTTTAATCCACATAACTCCATGAAATATTACTTATTACTGATCTTAGAGGTGAAAAAACTAAAGGGCAAAGAAATAATGTGACATTCACACAGTAGGTAACAAACAGAAATACAAATACCACTTTATTTTATATTATTTTATGTATTTGGTATAGGGTCACTATGCAACTCAAACTCATAGTGATCCTCCTGTTTTCAGCCTCCCCAGTACTGGGATTACAGGCGTGCACCATCAGGCGTGCACCATCACGCACTGTTTCAGTGCCTGGTTTTAAAAAAAATATCGGAAATGTAGTTGTTCAAGGAAAGTAACTTACTTTAACCATTTAAACGTTTAACCATTTAGATCTCCAATTTCCTCTGCAGAAACAAAGAATGGCAAACTATCAGTTAATCTGTCTAAGAAATCATGCATCCTTTAGAGCTATAGTAAAAAGAATATTAAATGACAGGGAATACCTAACATTAAAACATCTGTTCACTCTTCTCTATCTCTATCAGGTATATTATTGAATTTTTTTGTATTAATATTAGTTTGTACTCTCTTTAAAAAATAAAATGAAATTTTAAAATTATGTGTGGAGCTGAGAGAACAGGGCAGTTGTTCAAGGGGAGGCTGCCCTAATAGGCTTCAACTGGCACAGGCAGAGCCTTGTAGATTAGGTGAGGGCCTACACAGCAACTTCATTCAAAGCCAAGGTTAATGTGCTCCAATAACACAATTTCCTTTAGGCCCTGGCTTTCTACGGTTGAGCAGCATCTGTACATGGATCAACAAGTCTATTTTCTTTCTAGTTGTAGTTTCTTTTAGATGCAAAGGACTGCCTTCTCATAGTTTTCACTCTGAGAAAGTTTGACTGCAGACACTCAGCAGTTAATCATTATAATCACTCCTTGCTTCCATCCCTAACTCTTCCCTTCCTTCTGTTGCAGTCACTTGATTGCCAGTACCAACCATCCTACCTTTCCATTTACTAAGTATTTCTGCTGAGGCTCTCATTACTTGTCTTAATCGATTTCCCTTTCGCTCATTCACTCACTCACCTCATCCACCTACTAATTTAACAAATATTTTTAAAGCACTTGCTAAGAACCAGGCACCAAGTTAGCATGAAAGTAAAACGGCCAATGGCCAGATAGAGTTTGAGTTTATCATAGTACTACAATTAAACAAATTACAATAAAAAAGCAACAATGCCATGTGCCATGGAAATACCTCATCCTATACCATGGAAGGGTCTCATTCCGATTCTCTCAAAAATGTTTACGCTGAAAGCTAAAGCATCAATAAAAGTCAGACGTGGGAAAGCAAGCATGTTCAAGGCAAGGGAAAAGCGCATGCAGTTTGAGTTCAGTTTGACGTGACGGGGTAACGGGCTAAGGAAGAGACTTAAAAAAATAAAAAATAAAAAAGGCAAAGGGGAGTGGTGATGGTCTTGTAAGCTGCAGCAAAGTGGATACGACTCTAGAGCCCCTCCGAGCTACTGAAGGACTTTGACCAGGGAGAATTATGATGGGAGTTCAGCAAACTGGCCCGGGCTAGTTTGAGAAACTAATGAAGAGAAACTGCATCCTTTCCATCACTTCTACCCAGACAGAGGGCTCAAAGAGTATAATCTCATACTTTCATGTCCTTCCTTAAAATATTTTCATGGCGCCCCACAGCAGCAGAGTCCAGCTCCATAGCTCGCCCCACCCCGACTGCCCGACCGAGCTTCCCAGTCTTCCCACCCAAACCGGGCTCTCGCCCTCGCACACAGGTCCCCCGACTGTGCTCTTGCGCGGGACGCCCTCTTCCGACTTTCACTCTCTTCTACCCGCTTTACTCCCACGGCTCCTCACAACCCTCCCCGGCGGCTCCTTCTTCGGAACGCCTTCCTGAGGTCCATCGATGAAGTGATGGACCGTATTCCAGCGTGCGCAGGACGGACTGTCCCTCTCCGCCCGGTGACCCCGCTGACGGGGAGAATCCGGCACCCCCAGCTTCTAGCCCCGTGCCAAGCGTCCGAGAGCCGACTGCCAAGCGCACGGAGGCGCTCCCGCAGAGGGACAGCGCGCTAGACCGAGGCCCTCAAACGCACGCGCGGAAAGCCCACGGAGCCGCCCGGAGGGTCCCGCGGGAAGGAACCCACCCCGGGCGCCGGGTCCTCGGGACACAGAGCGAGGCCAGCCCCGGCCGCCCCGCCCTGGAAGTAGCCCGAGTCGCCAAAGCTCTGTGAGCGTGGGGGCTGCAGACCTCTGCCGCGTAAGCCAACCTGCCTGGCCGACTTCTGGCTGCTGCCTCCACTCGGACTAAAACTTCTGGGTCAAGAACCGCGCAGCCCGCCACAAGTTAACTCGATCCACAACTTCCGGGCTGTTGCCGGGTTACTGGAGCCCCGCCCCCGCGACTGCGTATTTCCGGCGAGCTGAATGCGCAGGTGCCGTCCAATGACTGGCTAAGGCGCTGAGGCCGAGGACGTAGATGTTTCTCAATTTTAATTAAACTCTAATTTTCTGGCAAAGCATTGCGGAATAGGCATGCAGCATCAGCTATGCCTGGAGAGTTTCTAAATGAGAAGTGTTACTCTCGACCAGGCTTCACATATTTGGTTTCACCTTTATTTATTTATTTTAGAGTTTTTGTTACCATCTACCTGTGTGCCAGAGGCTATGCTAGCTAAGTAGTTCTGTGGTAACTAAAAAAAGCAAGCTCCTTGCTCCCAGGAATCTTACGGCATAGTAGCATAAAGTTATCAATGACAAAAAGGTAATACTTAAAGGGTGATGAGTGCTAGGAAAGAACTATACTAGGTTTGTTAAAGAATGTTGGAATTTCTCAGGAGAGCTGAGGGACAAGAATGAGTACCTTGCAAAGCAAAAGGCATTTCTGCGGAGGGAAACTTGTGCAAAGACATATGGCAAATGCTAAAAATGGAAAAACGTGAATGATATGTGGACAATGGAGTATTATTCAGCTATAAAAAAAAGAATAAATTTGAGACTTTTATCAGTAAAGGGATGCAACTAGAGACCATACTTTCTCTTAAGCAAAATAAATCAGATCTGCATGTGCAAACATCGCATTTTCTCTTTTGGGCTAAAACCTGAAAGAGAAGATAAAATCTGAAGGGTACAATAGAAACTGGGAAAAGAGGATGAATCTGATCAAAAGGAAGGAATTAGTGAGATGAGAAGGACAGGAGAGGAAGTGGGGAAAAGAGGTAGTTTGGACAATTGTACTGTGGATTTCTGCTGATCTATGGAAAGCAGCAGTTAATGCTTTTAATTTTGTCTTCTTTTTTCAATTCGTCTTCCTTTCTCTTTTTCTTGTAATTTTTTTCTTTCTTTCAATCTTGCATGTATATCTGGCAATATAAACAACTAATTTGATGACAATACTATGCAAAACAACAAACACTATAAAATTCATATTATTTTGTTTAGTGAAATTCTGTACCATTCAAAATTTTTTCCTGTTTTAATGCTACCTTGTACTTCTAGAACAATAAATAAAATTAAAAATTATGTGTGGAGTTGAGAGAACAGGGCAGTTGTTTAAGGGGAGGCTGCCCTAATAGGCTTCAACTGGCATAGGCAGAGCCTTGTAGATTAGGTGAGGACCTACACAATACTTCATTCAAGGCCAAGGTTAATGTGCTCCAATAGCACAATTTCCTTTAGGCCCTGGCTTTCTACTGTTTTTTTTTTTTTTTAATTTTATGTGTGTGTGTGTGTGTGTGTGTGTGTGTGTGATCAGCTCAGCCCACCAGGGGGCAGGGCTAGCTGGCATGTGGTGCTGGGGATTGAACCGCGGTCCCTGTGCTTTGCTAAGCTTGTTCTAAGTAGGTGCTTTAGACCACTGAGCCATCTCACCAGCCCCAAACATGTTGGAAACTTGCTTTTTTTTTTTTTTTTTTTTTTTTTTTTGCGGAACCGGGGATTGAACTCAGGCCCTTGCGCTTGCCAGGGAAGCCCTTATTCCACTGAGCCGTCTCCCCGGCCCCCTTTCTACTGTTAAGCAGCATCTGTACATGGATCAACAAGTGTATATTCTTTCTAGTTGTAGTTTTGTTTTTGTTTTTTTTAAGATGCAGAGGACTGCCTTCTCACAGTTATCACTCAGAGAAAGTTTATGCAGATACTCAGCAGTTAATCATTATAATCATCTCCTTGCTTACTTCCCTATTTCTTCCCATTTTCTTGTTGCAATCACTTGATGATTGCCTAACTCTCCTCTTAGTAAGTTCTTAAACTTTTAGAGCTGAACCTGGTAGAAGAAAAAACCCCACCTACACTGATGTTAAATTCAGGATCACAGTTATGTTTGTTTGTTTGAGACAGGGTTTTACTGCAATGTTCAGGCTGGCCTTGAATTCACTATGTACCCAAAGCTGGCCTGGAAGGCAAGGAGATCCTCTTGCCTCAGCCTCCCCAGTGCTAGGATTATAGGCATGCGCTATCACTCTAGTCATGACTACAAATTTCATGTGTCCCCTAAAAGATGCTTGAACATTTTCTTAAAGGTCCCTGCTCTACAGACTTTTCCACACTCCTAGATGACAGTTTTATCCTTTCTCTCATATTCATCATCTGTTCCTTCTCAGGCTCAGCTAATAACTTTGGTTCCCATTTCATTGCTAACATTGAATTAATCAGAAGAGAACTTCCATGAGATCCTGTTACTACCTCAGTCCTCTTAACATTTGAAGTCACTGACTTCATCTTCAGAAGCCCAATAAAATATAAGCACACCAAAAAATGTGCCTCCTAGAAATACATCATAATCAAATTGCTCAGAACTAGTAACAAAGAAAAAAACTCTAAAAGCATAAGGGGTGGGTGGAATACATGTGATATACAAAAGAACAAAAATAAAGATCAAATCAGTTTCTCATTAGAAACAAAGAAGAAAAACAACAGTTTAAAATTCACTGGACCACGCCAGCCCCAGCCCCAGGCACGCTGAGCTGGCCACCAAGTTCAGGCATGGTGGCATGTGCGCCTGTAATCCCAGCACTGGGGAGGCTGAAAACAGAAGGATCACTACACATCAGAGCTGCTCACTGAGACCCTATGCCAACTACATATAAAAAATGAATAAATAAATAAAATAAAATTTATTGGAAGAAAAACTCCTTTCAATCTAGAAATCAATGTCTGGCAAAAGTCTTTTAAAACTAAGATTAAGCAAAAAGGATTCAAATCACACAAGATACATTCTCTGACTACAATATAATTAAATTAGAAATAAATAACAAAATGATTGCTTTGAAAGTTCCCTTAAAATTTAAAGGAAAACTAACACACTTCTGAATAAGTCCAGAAATTCTTATGTTGAAACATAACAGCCAATCTGATAGCATTAAGAAATGAAATCTTTCTTAGGTAATTCATTGTAGAGCTTGAGGGCTCTGCCTCTTGTGAGTGTTATTGGTCCCTCTCCAAAAGAGCTTAAAGGGTCCTGTTTGGCTCTTTGGCCTTTTATTCATCTTTATAATAAAACACAGCATTTGCCCCTTCTACCATGTGAGACCACAACAACCAGATGCTGAATCTGCTGGTGCTTTAATCATGGACTTCCCAGACTCTAGAGCTGAGAAATAAATTTATGTTATTTTAAAATTACACAGTCAAAGGTATTTTGTTACAGACTAAGATAGTCATTAATCAAGAAATCAAAAGAGAAGACAAATATTGAACTATATGAAATGAAAATACAATATATCAAAGTTAAATACCTATATTAGAAAATAAGATAAAGCTCAAATTCTATCTTTATAAATTAGAAAAGAAGAATAATTTTTTTTTCATTTTATGCATTTGGTACAGGGTCTCACTATGCAGCTCAGACTCATAGTGGTTCCCCTGTTTTTAGCCTCCCCAGTGTTGGGATTACAGGCATGTGCCACCACACCTGGACTCGTTCACTGGCTCCGTGTGCCCCATGGGTGGGGCTGGCGTGGCATGTGGGACTAGGGATCGAACCCTGGTCCCTGCTCTTGCCAAAGCAGGTGTTAAGTCCACTGAGCTATCTTGCAAGCCCAAGAACAAATGTTTTTTTGAAGGTAATTTTATTTATTTATTTATTTTAAATATTTGACACCCCCACACTTTATTTATTTATTTATTTATTATTTATTTGTGTGTGTGTGGCCAGCTCAGCCCACCAGGGGGCGGGGCTGGCTGGCATGTGGTGCTGGGGGATTGAACCGCGGTCCCTGTGCTTTGCTAAGCTTGTTCTAAGTAGGTGCTTTAGACCACTGAGCCATCTCACCAGCCCCCAAGAACAAATTTTTACAATAAAGACTTAGGCTCAGAGTTAAATTTAACAGAAAAACAATAGACAATAAAAGAAAATGCAAAAGGTAAATCTCTGAAAAGAGGAATTAAATTACTAAAACTCTACCCAAATGGCTCAGGGAAATTCACCCATAAATTACCAGTATCAAGAATTTAAAAAAAGAAAGGAACCAAGAGATGAAGGGAGGGAGGAAAAGAGATGGGATGAATAAAGAATTAAGATGTGCCGTACACATGTACCAGCTCCCTGTAATGAACGCAATGTTTACGTACTGCAAACATGTACTTATAAAAACAAAAAATAAAAGGTAAAAAGGAATAAAATGATCATGCTACAGCTCTTAAAATAAGAAAACAATAGAACACAATAAAACCCATCTTAGGAAAAGCGTAATAATATTTTGACAACTTTAAAGCAATAAATTCAATAACACAACTTAACTGGACAAATTCCTTCAGTGATACAAATTACAGAAGTTTTTTGAAGAACAAATACATAATCTAAGCAATTCTTAAATCTACTTTAAAAATTAAGTTGCAGACACTCAAATATCAATATCATTCATGTGCATAAGCAATAAACTCATAAAGAGAGAAACTAGGGAAACCATACCCTTTAAAATACATCCAAAAAAAAAAAAAATGAAATACCTAGGAATCAATCTAACAAAATAAATGAAAGATCCACACATTGAAAATTATAGTACTCAGAAAAAAGGAAATCAAAGAGGATATTAGAAAATAGAAAGATATTCCTTGCTCTTGGGTAGGAAGAACTAACATTGAAAACAGCCATACTCCCAAAATCATTAAACAGATTTAACAGAATCCCAATCAAAATACCATTGGAGAAAACATTCCTAAAATTCATTTAGAACTATAAGAGACTTAAAATAGCTAAAGCAATTCTGAGCAACAAAAGCAAGGCTGAGAGTAACACAATACCTGACTTGAAATTATACTACAAACCTACTGTGATAAGATCTGCATGATATTGAGAGGGAAAAAAAAAAAAAAAGACAGACCTGAGAATCAGTGGAACAGAATAGAAGATACAGAAATGACTT